AAAAGTCTCTGTTTTTCACACACACACACTCATATATATATATGTGTGTGTGTATATATATATATATATATATATATATATATATATATATAGTCATCAGAAAAGTCATGACATAGTCTATGTATTTTTCTAAACATATTAGGCTTTTGCCATAGTGAGAAAGAGAGAGAAGGAGAGAGGAAAAGTGAGACATTAGTGAGAGGGAAAGTGAGAAATGAACATGTGGCCATCTCTTCTCTCCCATTCTCCTGTCAGGATTTTGGTCATACACGCACATGTGCCCAGCATGATTTTTAAGCTGCTGGGTCCAGAACATAAACGATGGTCAGCCTTGTGGGAGTCCAGCACCTTAACCACCACACCACCCACTGACCCTGAATTGCATATTTTAAATGAATGAATTGTATATCAATTATATTACAATAAGGCTGTTACCAAAAAATGAGGCCAAAAAATAAAATATGAAACTGAAGACAAAAATCATACATATTTTTTTTTATTTTATTTTATTTTATTTTATTTTATTAGAGAAATGTTTGCTACAGGGTGCATGCACTCACCAGAAAGACAGAGAGAAACAGAGACAGAAAGTGAGAAATCGCCCCCCTGGGGGGAGATGGCCATGCTGCAATCCCCTCTCCTCCATTTTTCTCTCAGGATTTTGGGCATGCACGCACACACACCCAGGGTGAGTTTTAAGCAGTCGGGTCCAGGACTTGAACCACGGTCGACTACATGGGAGTCTAGCTATGTAAGCATTATGTCATCTGCTGGTCCCTTTTATTTTGTTTTTAAAACATATGTGCATAAGGAAAAAAAAGAATGGTAGTTTGTTCTTTATATTGCTCCTGTATTTTCCAAATTTTTTACATAAGCATAGAAAACATATAAATTCTGATTTGAAAGGTCTAATCACAGAACATGAAATAGACCACTCTTTGTTGTTGATTCAAACTAAAAACAATTGAAGAGGCAGAAATAAAACACTCTATACGAAAATTCATATGGAATATCAAAAGACCCTGAATAGCTAAAATAATCTTGGGGAAAAAAAAAAAAGTCAGATTGTCTCACACTTCTTGGCTTTGAAAGTTACTACAAAGCTACAAGAATGAAAACAATATGGTACTAGGGTGAGCTACAACGGTGTAGGTAGTGATAGCACACTGCTATGTAAGGTTGCAACTACATGGGAGGCTCAGGTTTGGTTTTTGACCCAATCTGAATAGGCTGAGTGCAGTGCCGTGCACCTATAATTCTAGCTAACTAAGAAGCTGCAGTAGGGGGATGGCTGCATGGCAAGACTCCAACAAAAGAGCCCCCATTCTATGCCCTCTCTCTCATAAATAAAATAAAATAATATAAAATAAATTTTAAATTTAAAACACTAAAAATTTGAGGGGAGAGTAGTATGCTACTAGCTTAAAGACATACAAATGAGCAAAATACAATAGAGAACCCAGAAATAAACACAAACATAAAAGGGACTTCAAAACTTTGCAAAAAACTGAAATTAATAAGGTTATTTTGAGTGAAAAGTTTTTAAATCTATGCATTTTTCTATTATGCATTTTTTCAGAAAATGGAGACCCTTTTATATGATCAAATGATTTTGATTAGGAGATTTAAACCATTCTATGGGAAATAAAGTCTTCAACAAATGATACTGGGAAAACTAGCTATCCACATGCAAAGAAATGAATTTGAACCCTTATCTTACACCATACACAAAAACTGTCTCAGAATGGAACAAAGGCCTAAACATAATAGCTCAAACCTTAAAATTCTTAGAAGAAAATATAGAGGAAAAGCTTCATGACATTAGATTGGACAATGCTTTCTTGTATACAATGCCAAATGAACAGGTAACAACAAAACAAACAACTCATTTCAAAAATAGAACGAACTTGGGAACCAGCAGTTAGCGTAATGGCTATGTCACTGGACTCCCATGTAGTCGACCGCAGATCGCATCTTGGACTCGGGCGCGTGTGCGTGCATGCCCAAGATCCCAAGAGGAGAACGGAGGAGAAGGGATTGCGGCGTGACCATCCCCCCGGGGGTGATTTCTCGCTTTCTGTCTCTATGTCTCTCTCTGTCTGTCTGGCGAGCGCACGCGCCCTATAGCAAAAACCTCTCAAAAAAATAGAATGAAACTGAATGGACATTACTCAAAAAAGATATAGGAATAGCCAACAAGCCCTTGAAAAGATGTTCAAAATCACTTAATCATTAGAAAAATGCAAATCAAAATCACAATAAGATATCATTTCATGCTTATCAAAAACAAACAAAAAAACAAGTGTTAGTAAGGCTGTGGTCAAATTAAAACTTACGTGCACTACAGGTGAGAATCTAAAATACTATAGCCTCTATGGAAAAGTTTTCCGTTTCCTCAAAAGATTAAACACAGAAGAGCCAGCCCTATAGCACAACAGTTAAGTGCTGGGCATAAGGAGCTAGATCACACAGGCCAACTGCAGTCTGAATCTCAGCCCTGAAGGCTTGAAAAACACAGTGGGTGTCTATATGTCTGTATGTGTGTGTGTGTGTGTGTGTGTGTGTGTGTGTATTCACACACACACGCTCACGCATGCATGCTGGATTTGGATTACAACATGACCATACCCCATAGGGTGGGACACTTACTATCTGTCTGTCTCTCTCCCTCTCTCTCTTCCTCTCTCTCTCTCTCTCTGTCTCTCTCTCTCAGCAAGCACATGCACCCATGTACCCTCTGGTAATGAAAAAAATAAATAAATATGGAATTATCATATGATCCAGCAATTCCACTCTTGGGTACACACACAAAGAACCAAAAGCAGAGACTCAAACAGATAATTCTAAACACATGTTCAAAGAAACATTACTCAAAACAGCCAAAAGTAGAAGCTATCTAAGAGTCTATCGACAGATTAATAAATAAGTAAATTATGGTACATAATAGAATATTATTCAGCCTTTAAAAGTAAGAACATTCTGACGCAAGCTAAAACATAGATGAACCATCAAAACATTAAGCTAAGGGAAATAAGCCAGTTGCAAAAGGACAAACACTACATGATTCCACTTACATGAGTTCTCTAGAGTAGTCAAACACACAAGGACAGAAAGCACACTGGTGGATTTCAGGCACTGAGGGAGGGGAGAGTGAGGACTTTTGTTCAATTTTATAAGATGGAAAAGTTCTGGAGATGATGGTGGTGATGGTCACACAATAATGTGAATGTATTTAATACCACTGAACTCTACGTTCAAAAATAGTTAAAATGGGCGCTAGTAGGTGGTGTGGTGGTTAAGGTGCTGGACCCTACTCAACCACGTTTCTAGTCCCTGGTGGTTTATGTTCTTTCTCTCTGTCTCTCTCTGATGAGTGCACGTGTCCTATAGCAAATTTTAATGATAATAATAATAAATAAATAAAATTAAACAAATAATTCTTTAAAAAATTAAAAATGGTCCGGGTGCATGTGTGTGCGTGCCCAAGATCCCAAGAGGAGAATGGAGGAGAAGGGACCGTGGCATGGCTATCTCCCCTGGGGGATGATTTCTTAAATGGTCCGGGTGCATGTGTGTGCGTGCCCAAGATCCCAAGAGGAGAATGGAGGAGAAGGGGCCGTGGCATGGCTATCTCCCCTGGGGGATGATTTCTTGCTTTCTGTCTCTCTGTCTCTGTCTGTCTGGTGAGCGCACGTGCCCTATAGCAAAAACCTCTCCAAAAAAAAAAAAAATTAAAAATGGTAAAAAGAAGATTTTAAAAAAATGTTAAAATGGTATATTTTAACTACTGGGTCATTGAAAAGTCATGTTGCATTTTTGCAAAGAAAAATATAAACACATCATGACTTTTTTCCAACAACCCGATATTATGTGTATTTTGCCATATTTTTTTAAAAGGTAAATGACTTAAAAAAGAAGTATAAAGTCATGGACAAAAGCTCAGTCTTAATTTCTTTACATGTACAATGGATGACTGAACTAAAATCTAACTTTTTACTAAAAGAGTATGTGAGTCTGTGATATTTCAAGTTATTGTGATCCAAACAATCTATTTTTCTCATTAAATGCTAGAATTTTTTCTAAGATAAATTCTTTTTTTCGTTTTTCTTAAATAAGTATTTAGTTCTATTTATGTATTTGTTTGTTTTAACTTGACCAGAGGGACAGAGTGAGGTAGGGCGGGGGGGGAAAGGCGGGGGAAGAAAGTGAGAAAGCAATCCTCCAGGTCTGGGACTCAAACTGTGGTTGGCTATATGGAAGTCCAGCGCCATTAACCACCATGCCACCTGCCGGGTCCCCCAAGATAAATTCTTAAAAAATAATAATAGTAATTAAAAGTCAAAAAGCAGCAGTCATACCTGATATAAAGCAAGAGAGTGTCCGTATCTCTGGAGTGGTCCCCTTGATAGAGTTCCTACATTCCAAATACTACTTTCTAAATTGTAACTAAAAAGAAGAAGAAAAAAAACTTCATAAACTAAGATTCATTTTCAGTTTTTAAATTTGCATATGCTTTTCTTCACTTGCAGCCAAGTAGTCACTAAATTCAAAAGGAATTATAACCAATAATCTCATAATTTCAAGTACCATAGTAGAAAATTTTCATAAAGATTCATTCAGGTAATATCTACCCAAAATTAGGATTCAATTGCCTAAATGTATACACATTAACTTGGCTAAGATATTTATTACTGAAATTAATTTGCCTAATTGTCTTCAATTATTTCAATCAATTGACTAACCTAAGCAATATTGAGCTATTCTGAATTTTTATTCTTTTTCTGTTTTTATTTTTAGGTTTTTGCCATAGAGTATGTGCACTTGCCAAAGAGAGAAAGAGAGAGACAGAGAGAGAAAATGAGAAATCACCCCCCCACCCCCCCCACCCCAGAAGTGATAGCCATGCCTACAATCCCTTCTGCTCCATTCTCCTCTAGGGATCTTGGGCACACATGTACATGTGCCTGGCATGAGTCTCAAGATGCTGAGTTCAAGACTCGAACCACAGTCAACCATGTGGGAGTCCAGTGCCTTAATAGCTACCACACTACCTGCAGGATGCATTGTGCATTTTTTAATTTAAAAAAAAAACAGCTTTTCTTCTTAGAAATAGATGAAATTCTCTCCATTTTTACAATAGCCATTTGCTTTAGGTATTCATTTATATTCTCTTTCATATACTTAGCTTAGAAATACAAAAATTAACCAAGAGGCATGTATTTCCTATGCACAAACATAGCTTATTACGGATAGTTTTTTTAAGATTGTGCAAAATTAGACCACTAATACAAAAAGCATCTATTAAAAACATAAGTTAGTGTTGTACTATGGGATACAAAAATAAACCTCTTATTTTTTAATGGTCTAATACAATATTAAAACAGAAGTCCTAAACCATGGACCTCAAATGCTTCCTTAACAATTCCAGTTGAGTTGTTACCACACTACATACAACTCCCCTAAAGTTGCCAAGACAAGAAGAAGCACCCACTCAAGAAAGTGTCCTGTTTTATGTTCCTTTAACTTATCAGGAAAGGCAAGAAATTACCCTTTTACATGAAAGGTAAGAGTCGCCACAATTGTTTTCAGCATGGTTTAATCTACTCTTGGACTTAAAAAATACATCTGTATGATATACATGAGGAAACACAATAAATAAGAACATAACTTCCACAGACTTGCCCCACTAAATCTACTCACCTACCATTATCTGTAATCAGCACACTGCTTTCCGCCAAGTTACTGTAAATTAAGGCTCAGCACATTATTTCTATAAAGGGCCACACAGTTAATATTTTAGGCTTTATGGTCTCACATTATTATTCTGGGTTTTTTTTTTAATTCATTTTTCATTTCTTCCAAAAGAGACAGAAGAAGACAAAGAGAAAGAAGCACCACCCAACAGTCCCCACAGTGAGACTGACCTCCAGCCTCAGCCAGCCCAGATCACATGCATGTGCATGCACGCCCCCAGTATATACAGAAGGCCCCAGAACATTCCCACGTGGAATCAGTCGTTACTCTTACACCACTGTCACCTCCACGCTCTCTTACAGCCTGGTAAAAATACAAAAATCTTTCTGAACCCTCAGGTACTGATCTATTCTGCATTTTGCTGATCCCTGCTATAAATGCATTACTCAAGGTGACTGTACACTAGAGCACACATACTTGAGCAGTTCACCCATCTTTTTCACTCAAGTTTTTATGCATTTCCTTCCAGAAGGAGGAAGACATAGAATGGGGGGTGGGGGAGGCGCAGAAAGGAGAGACCTGAACCCCCGACAGGATCTCATCGTCTTGCAATCACTACTAGGCTTCCAGCCAGCCAGCATCACAGGCACGCCCAGCATGTTCAGGTGGACCCAGGACCCAAACCCTGGGCCTTCCTCTGATGACAGTAACACAGAGAAGTACCAACAGAGTTGGGCCCCATCTCTTCTTCCATGACTGTTTTTAAGTCTCACTAGGATTGTTGTCATCGGCATGCAAACATGGTCTTCCCTTTTAGATGAAAAGAAAAACTTTTCTTGACCTCACTTCCCATTCAAGCTACCACACCATTTCTTTACAGCTCAATTTCTTTACTGTGTTCACCTCTACCCATCTTTCCACTCTTTATTTAATTCCTAATAAGCTTTTAACCCCACCACTACAGAAAAACTTCTTTTGTTAAAGTCAAATTCTTTATTGACCTTAACAAAATGGCTACAGTAAATACAAAACCGCTTTTCAGTCTTTATTTTTCTGCTTAATCATCAGCACTTCACATTGTCTCTCCTTAATCCTCATACTCTTCCCTTGCCTTCAAAGACACTGCACTCTTGGTTTCCCTATCTCACTAGTCATTCCTTTTCAGCCTCCACTGTGGATTCTCTTCTTCTCCCCAATCTTTTAGTGATACAATGCCTCAGATTCAGTTTTTGGTCCTCTTCTCTATATCTAAAACATATTATCTTGATAATCTCATCCTAACTCAATCTCTGTTTCCACTCTTCTTCCCAATCCCTAGCACATTTTTAATAGAGTAGCCATAATGACTCCTTTAAAGTATAAATGAAAGCATGCTCAAAACACTCCCATGTCTTTCAAAAAGATCTACAACACCCTATATGAGCTGTCGCCCTCCCCATTATCCCTCTAATTTCATTCTGACCTCTCATATACTCCATGCAGATCACTTGGGCCTCCTTTTTGTTCCTTAAACACATTAAGAAGCCCCTATCTTAAGGCTTTGGTCTGGCTATTTTCTTTTTTTGGAGAGGGTTTTGCTACAGGGCGCATGTGCTCGCCAGAGAGACAGAGAGACAGAAAGCAAGAAATTGCCCCCAAGTGGGGATGGCCACCGCACAATCCCTTCTCCCTCATTCTCCTCTAGGGATCTTGGGCACACACGCACACATGCCCAGCATGAGTATAAGCCACCGGGTCCGGGACTCAAACCACGGTTGACTACATGGGAGTTCACACATAGCCATTATGCTAACTGCTGGTCCCTCCTTGTTCTTTTCTGTACTTAACATATACATGCACTGCCAATGCCCTGATCTTAAGTTTTCCTCAAGTCTCACCTTTCTCATGGAGCCCACCTTGACCACTACATTTATAATAGCAACTCCATCCTCATTGGGACTCTTGATTTGCTTTACCTCCTGCTATCTATCTATCTATCTATCTAACTCCATATGTGTATATATATGTGCATACATATCATTTACATTGGTAATTACGTTTATTTTTCAGTCTGTTCCCCTCCACTAACTTCACAAAGACAGAAACAGCTGTTATGTCCACTAATGCATCCCAAGCTCAAAGTACATGTTCAAAATAGTTTGCTATGCTCATGAATACAAGTTAATTTTCACCAATGTTAAAGCATGTGTGTGTATACAATAGTCTCTTTCTAGTTTAAAAGACACCAATATAAAACTTTTATATTGTTGACTAAATTATTTTATCTTAAAATTAACATTTATACCTCAACTAAATTCCACTAAAGAAGATAAATCAAATTATAACTGATCACTCACTTTAAAAAACTGTTTAAATATCCTTAGTACAATTGAACTACATTCAAAATGATGAAAAATAATCAAACTTCTAATATTATCTCTCATAGCTCACTACAAACCAATATAAATATTGTAATAAAAAAGCCAGATTTCAGACCAAGAAAGTTAAACTATCAAGGCTAGCAGGTGCGATGGTGCTGAAAGCACTGGACTCCCACATGTGGCCGACCACAGTCTGAGTCCTGGACCTGGCAGCTTGCTTTTTTGTATTCTCTTTCTTTCTCTGGTAAGCATATATGCCCTCTAGCAAATTTAAAGATTTTTTTTTTGGAGAGGTTTTTGCTATAGGGTGTGTGCTCTCGCCAGACAGACAGAGAGAGACAGAGAGACAGAAAGCGAGAAATCACTCCCCAGGGGAGATGGCCACACCGCAATCCCTTCTCCTCCATTCTCCTCTCGGGATCTTGGGAACACACGCACACGCGTCCGGCGTGAGTTTTAAGCCACTGGGTCCGGGACTTGAACCACGGTTGACTACGTGGGAGTCCAGCGACATAGCCATTAAGCTAACTGCAGGTCCCTAAAGAATTTTTTTAAATAAAAGAATTTTTAAAATAGTAATAACAATAATAAAGTATTAAATTGTTTATTTATTAAAATTATAAACTGTCTAGTTCAAATGAAAAACATACAAATGTAAGAGAATATTAAGTAGAAGCCAGCAGGTAGTATGGTGGTAAAGGTGCTAGATTCCTAGATGGTCAATCAGAGTTCGAGTCTCACACCTGGCAGCTTGCTTTCTCACTCTCTCTCTCTTTTTCTCTGAATCTCTCTGGGAAGCATGTGTGCCCTATAGCAAATTAAAAAAAATAGTAATAATAAATACAATTAAATAATTATTTAAGATAAGAGATTTTAAATATTTCTCAATTAATTTTAAATACGCTATTCAACTTATACAGAACGCAATCTTTTAAGCTTTTCATGCTTCTTTGACAATTTTGCTCTTTGTCTTCACTCGACTTTGCAAATATCATAACATAATCCAAAGTTCAACTCTATTTTCATAGGCTTTTCATTTTCTTTAATCATTGTTAATTTCCTTTTCATTTCCACATTTAAAACTCATTACTTCCTTAGGTTCTTTTTATACCTTAACAATTCATTTCAATCTCACTAATTATCTTTTGATTTCTTTTCTACCATACCTTATTTCCTATACTGTGTCACGGAATTCTAATTTCTCATTTAAATATTTACTTAAAATTCTCTCTTCTCCATACAATTATTTTTATACTATAATTCCAGTCACATTCAATCATAATTTGAAAGTCATCTCCTCTCATACTCAGTTGAATTTATAAAGCTTTAAACATTAACAGGGTTAATATATTCAGTAAGTAGGGTTACCAGGATATCCTGTATAACCAGGGTTAGTATATCCTGTATAACAGGGTGAATATATTCAGTAAGTAGGGTTACCAGGATAACCTAGTTATACAGGATATATTGTTAAATCTGAACTGTTCAAGTAAAAAATTAATTCTGAAGTATAAATAGGACCCATGCAATATTTGGACGAAACCAAAAAAATACATATTCTGCAGGTAGTCTTCTTTTACTAAAAATTAGTTGTTGTCTATCTGAAATTCAAGCTTAACTATTTAGCCAATAAATTTACCTGCTAAATCTGGCAACACTATTGGTTACACATCATTTCAGTATACTGTTCATGGCCTGTTCTGATGTCCAAGTTTTATCAGTTATTGCTTATCACCCAAAAAACAAAACTGATAAATCAAATTATTTTTTTCCTAGTTCCTTTTATTGTTATTGAATGGTTCATAAAATACAATAACCAACTACAAAGAAACCAGATAAAGCTGCCATCCACATCATTCTCCTAATTATCCAACAATACAGAGAACAATCTCTAATAATCCAACAGCAAATGAATGATCTATTTTATAAAACTGGCACTAACCTCTAGCAAAAGCTTGTAAAATACATACAAAGCAAAAATGCAGGTAAACTAAAATTTATACGACAAACTGAAAGTATTTTTTTATTTTTCATTCTGAAAAAAATAAAAGATGGTTGGATTCATTATGCCTAATGCAAATAAGGCCTGCTGATTTTGAAGTTAATATTTTATTACTCAGAATTTATTAAAAGCACTCTAGAAAGGTAATAAAATTTCAACACAAAACAAATGTATTATGTACAAGAACAAATAATTAATTATGGACATAATGAGTTAATATATTCCCAAATCAGCCCCATGTAGCAAATAGATAATATCCCAAAAATAACCAATTATACATTTGGACAGAGGATTTAGGATAAAATCTATCTTCAAAAAATAAAATGGAAAAAATGAAAATAAATACTTACTTCAGAACCATTTGAAAAGAACTGTAGTTAAAAGTATATCCACCAATCACCCACATAAATTTCCCATGTAAAACTGCTTTATGTGAAGCCCGACCTACGGAAGGACTGAAGGGTTTAACATTTGGTAGAATCCAATAAGACTCAGTAGAAGGAACATTCAAAGAACAATCGGGACCTATTTAAAAAAAAAAAGAAAAAAATATACTACATTAAACAAAGACCTGAGATTACAGAAATGGAATATATTAATTAAGAGAATTTAAAAATCCAATGATAAGTCATATAAATTAATATAAATAACAAACGGTCTGAAATATAACTTACAAAAATGCCTAGAAGGAAAAAATATCATATACTCAATCAAACTTGTAAATGTTCAAGTAAATAACACAAGCTAAAAGAATGATTAATATTTAAAAGCAAAATTTTAGATTTACTTCAGTATGCTACTAGAATATTAAAATGGAAAACAATACACTCAAATCCCAGTTCTGTCACTTACTATCAGTGTGACTTTGGGCAAATCTGTTTACCTCTATCATCACCTCTCCTCTCACATCTCTTCATCTATAAAATGGAAATAACAATCCACTTCCAAGGGTTATTGTAAATATATAAGTTTTTTTCCATTGGTGAAAATAAAAGCATTTGTAAATAAACTATTAGACAAATATCAAAATAAATACTATTAGCATCATTAAGAACAGCCAAATTTGGCTTGAATGGAGTATCCATCCTCAAAGAGAAAAAATTATTACACATAATAAAATAAAAGCTATTAATTAGCGAAGAATCATTTCAAATACTATAAAATTGAAATAGGTTTTTTATTATCCATTCACATGATGTTAATCATGAGTCTTGATTTCCTCATCTGCAGAATGTAAATTAGCCTAGATCAGAGTTTCTCAAACTTAAGTAATGGAAGAAATGCTCCTAAAGGAAATATCTTTTTTCTTAAAAAAAAAAAAAAAAAGACACACTTTTTTCCCCCTCAGCATTTATCATCTAAATAATAGTCTTGCCAAGATGGCAGCCTCATAATAAACTCTTTTCAGTGGAGTGATGGGTAATGAAGCTTGCTTGTGAAGGCAGCGAAGCCCATGGTGATCAAGGCTGCAGGATCCCACAAGGCCCAACTGGCAGTTTGGATCCTGGACACAACAATGTGCATGTGCATGCATGCCCAGAATCCCGAAAGGAGAGAGGAATGAAGAAGGAACTGCATTGTGACCATTCCTCATGAAGGTACTTTCTCACTTTCCCCCTCTCTCCCTGTCCATCTCTCCAGCAAGCATACATCCTCTGTAGCAAATTATTTTTAAGTTTCTTAATTTCTTCCATGAGTGACCAAGACAGAAAGAAAAAGAGTACCCCAGAGGGTCCCAACACAGCAAACCACCCCCATCTTCAGCCAGCCATAGATCATGGCACACATGTGCTAAGTGTACTTAGGGATGGCTCCGGATACAAACTGGGAATCCTCTCACGTGAGTCGGCCTCCCAAGTGCCACATTTTACTGCTACACTATTGTCCAGTAGCAAACTTTAGAACTTATCAATTATTTTAATTCTGATGAAACTAAAACATGCTCCACAACATTAGATGTAAGTTCCTATACTTAAAGTTATTTCTTTTGTAAGAATAAAACCAACATAAACTTTTAATTACATATTAACACACTCATAAACCTAAATAACATTTACTTAATATGACAAATGACATTATTTTGCTCAAACCAATTGATTCTAAGTTGAAAAATGACACTAACTCTTTCTGTGCCTTTAGAACATAAATCTATATTATTTTCACAACATAATTCTCCCATCATTTTCTTTCAGCCACCTTTTTACAAACCTTTTTAATTTATAAAATAGGTTACATCATCAACTGTATTTAATTTCTCACATCAGTATTAGTCCACTCCAGCTGTATTCTTTTCAGTCTACAATATCTTTTTAAATAATTATTTATTTATTTAATTCCATTTTTCATTATTATTACTTTTTAATTTGACCAGGAAGACACACAGAAAGAGAAAGGGAAAACAAGATAGCAAGTCATTAGGTCTGGGACTCGAACCATGGTCAGCCATGTGGGAGTCCAGCACCTTCACCACCATGCCACCTGATGGCCTCAGCCTACAATATTAAAGGGATATTACTTGGTTCCAATTTAAGAGTCAACACAAATGCTGGCACTGCAACCAAGTGGCATAATGGCATAACTTGGGTGTGAGATCAGGCAGATTATTATTATAAAATTTAATTACGGAATTTTAAAACTTCTAAGCACATTCTGATGTGAGAAACATTGGTCCATAATTATGGGTCATCCGAAAAAACATGTCATGACTTTTCCGATGACCTAATATTTTCATTCAGCTGTTCACTGACCCATGTATTTATTCACTCATCTTCAATCAATGTTTTCATTATATGAGTAAGAAATTTTCAGGTACACAGAGGCAACCTAGATTACCTCTCTTGTTGTTGTTTTGTAATTCACAGAGGGCACTTGTACTCAACAGAGAGAAAAAGAGATAGGGAGAAAGTACTCCCACTCCCTCAGTGGGGGGCGTGGTTATGCCACACTCCTTTTTCCTTTACTCCTCTTTCCCATCAGGATTTTGGGTGCACACACAGGTGCCTAGTGTTTTTTTGTTTTTGTTTTGCTGTGTTTTGTTTTGTTTTGTTTTCAAGTCACCAGGACCAAGATTCCAACCAGGTTTGATCATGTGGGATCCAGTCCCCTTAATCACTGAGCTACAGGGCTAACCTCCTACATTCTCTTTTTGATAATCCCATAATCTTTTAACCCAGATTTATAAAAAAACCTTCTGATTTCTTTAAAGTAAGTTTTAATGAAGTTTTTGAAGTTTATAATATGATGTTATAGGATACATAAAAAGACAGGGATATATTGGGTCAGCAGAAAAGTCCTGCATGTTTTTCTATATAAAAATGCATGATTTTTCCAATGACCCAACAGATACATATGAATAGTGCAATGGCTACTACACTGAAGCAGACTAACATATCTATTATCTCACATTGATACTTTTTTTAATAACAAAAGCAGCTAAACTCCTATACCTGTTTTTAATCTATGTTTATATTGTTGGGTTTTTTTTTAAATGAGTAAGAGAGAATGTGCACATGATGGAGAAGAAAAAGTATTTTTGACAGGTTCGTACGTGACCCTCTCAGTTAGCCAGAACTACAGATATGTGCACCATGCTTGGCCTGTTCAGACTTGTTTGGGATCCAAATCTAGGCTTCTCATGTGGCTCCAGCTTCACAGTGAGGGACCCCACTGCCTATACCACCTATGTTCTTTCATTGGTAAAGAAAAAAAAGAAAAGAAAAGACTTTTCATTTCATTGATATTTTATGCTTTTAATTACCAGAGGGCACATGCATTCATCAGAGAGAGAGGGAGAGAAAGAGGGAAAACATCCTTTACGGTAGGTAGGGCACGGTCACACCATAATCCTTCCTCTGCTATTTCTCCATTTTGTTGAGATTTGGGGCATGCAAGCACACACAAGTACAAAGCATGTTTTTCAAGCCATCAGGGCCTAGATGCAAACATGGTCAGCCATGTGGAATCTGACTCCCCTAACCACTAGGCCAAGGGGCTGGCCCTATATTTTGTAAATTTTTTTTTCCAGTTTTGGCTTATTTCTGTTCTGATCTTTATTATTTCTTGCCTCCTTTTAACTTTAAACTTTTTGTTTTAATTTTCTAGCTCTTTGAAGTACATCATTAGGTTGTTTATTTGAAATAGTTCTACTTTTGTTGATAGAGACATGTATTGCTATAAACTTCTCAGTACTGCTTTTGCTGTATCCCAAAAATTTTAGTATGTTGTGTTTTCATCTATATTTGCATTTTGTATGTTGTGTTTTCATTTTTATTTGTTTCAAAATTTCTTCATTGATCCAGTGGTCATTCAGGAGCATAGTTGTTTTCATTTCCCATTTTTGTATAGTTTTCAAAGTACATTAATTTCTAAAAGTTTTTTTTAAGTGTATTTATTAATTTCTGCCATAAGAGAAAGAGATGGGGAGAGACAGAGGCACTCTCAATAGAGGGTCTTCACACTACGATCCACCTCCAGGCTTAGCTAGCATAGATAATGGGTGCGTGCACCCAGTGAGTACAGGGCAGCTCCAGACCAAATCTGGAATCCTCCCATGTGAATGCAGTTGCCACTGTACCAACATCTAGTCACTGAATTCTATTTGGTTGTCAGAAAAATCATGACATATTTTTTTCTGCTTTTCTACACAAAAGTAAGTCATGAGTTTTCCAACAACCTAGTAATTTTCAACTGTGGCCAGGAAAAGTACTTTAAAATTTTTCCATTTTGGGGGACCAGAAGATAGCATAATGTCTGTGGTGCTAGACTCCCATGTAGTTGACCACAGTTTGAGTCCTGGACCCGGTAGCTTAAACTCATGCCGGGCACATGTGTGTGCATGCCCCAAGATCCCAAGAGGAGAATGGAGAAGAAACTGCAGTGTGGCCATCTCCCTGGAGGGTGATTTCTTGCTTTCTGTCTTCTGTCTCTCTCTGTATTTCTGGCAAGTGCACACACCCTATAACAAAAATCTCTCAAAAAAAAAAATTAAGCTTAGAATATATACATACCTGGATTTATCATCCTATCACGCCTACCTTATATTAGTGAAAGGTATTGATAATTTCCCAAAAAGAATTGTTAATAGGAAGGACAAAACATGCTTGGAAAGGAGTTTTTAAGAGAAGTATATGTAATTGTTCCAGAAATATTATTATGATTTAATGTACATATTGAACTTGAAGTTCTACCAAAAAAGGCAAAACAAGATAACATCATTGCAAGAGTCTTTCTAACAACATTAGAAGAATTCAATTTTGTTGCATCAAAGTATTTTAGACATGTTCTAGCCCTATAAGATCAATCTCCAAATGTCAGGTCTTGATTTTTATGTATTTTAAGTGATTGTAACTATTCTAAAAATGTTAATTTTTGAAAACAATGAATTATGTGAATGGTAATCATTATACTTGATCTGTTCAAATATGTGGTTCTTACAATTTAGGTGATAGAAAAACATGCCCATTTTTGTTAGTAATGATCAGTGGTTTTCAAATTACTATTTTTGAGTTATGAAAGTCTTAAAGTTT